ACCCTTGAACTAATTTTGCCAAAAAAATCCAACACAAGGACCCCGTCCTCACCTGTGAACGTGTTGTCCTTCTTCACCTTAGGCGGAATATCTCTCCTGATTTTTCGCAAGGTGGTCCGCCGGGAACTTGACAAATATGTCTGCGGGTTCCGCAAGCGGTACGTTCGGTACGAAAGTAACTTCTTGAAGAGGTAGTTGGTCGGATTCAGCTCCTCCAACTCCTCCCATCGAGGCCCGCGCCGCGTTGCAACATCTTCGGGCTCCGCGTTATTGTCTCTCCGCGAGGCGGACGAAGTGACTCCGCCTCGTCTGGAGGAAATTTTCCTGCTTGACGAAATTCCGTTTCCTTCTTCTGAACGGCGTTCGGAATCGCCCGAATGGTTCGACGAACCGCCGTTACCATCTTCGGAGGGACCAAGCGACTCCGACTGTGAGTGGCGGTTCTCCGGATCGTTACTACAGTGACCCTTGCTTGTACATCACTTGTCTTTCTTCGAGGGCTTCGACTCGGAGCTCCGCTGACGAGCGGGCTTGTCCTTCTTCGACCGACGGTCGCCCTCTCTACCCGAAGGGAGCGGCTCGTCGTACGATCCTTGCGGAGCTTGATTCGCGGCCTGCTCAAGGTCCTTGAGATGTTGCGCGGCGCGATCGAATCGGTCATCGATGCTTGTTCTAAATTTTCCTAAGGACTCCAAGGCTTGATTCGCGTCGCGCCTCGCATCCTTGACTGAAATTTTCAACGAAGCTAGGACCTCCGCCTCCAGGCCGTCGGTCGCCTCACCTCGCTTCTTCTCGACGAGATCCACTCGAGCCGATAGCTCTCCTAAAACAGTGTGGAACTCGGATGCTTGCAACTCCAGTTGCTTCCGGACGAGGGCTAATTCAGACTCCAGATTTTTCGTCATATCTTGGCGAATTTCCTCGCCCATCTTCTCGAACCTGTAGGATAGGTTATCCTTGTCGGCTTCAATCCCCGTCGGGGATTCTTGACCTTCGGGATTCGTGGCCGTATTGGCCTGGCTTCGGGTGCGAGGACCTCGCGGGATCCTGGACGCCCTTGCCGATCCGCTTCTACTCGCCCCCGGGACCGACGTCTCCGGGGGCACTTGTCGACATGGTTCGTTTCCAAAAACGAACCTAACTTAACACAAAGAACAAAATAGAAAACGCCACCGCACCTGAATAAACTTACGTCGCAGAGAAAACTCCTGTATTCCGTTTCAGCTTACGCAGTTTCTAGGTCGGGTCTCCTGTACGCAATTCTCGAAAGACCACTTTTGTAGTGCAATGCGCCTGTCAGGCAGAGACCAAGGTCCGACGGTCCAACACAAACAACAGCAACAAAAACAACAACTGCCAACGACACAGCGCTACGGAGTGTTCGAAGCTCCCTGTCCTCTTTAAGCGGGTTTGCGGCCCGCAGTAGCTCGGATCCCTGATGGGGGGGCAAAGAGAAGGGCCCAGCCCGGGATCGGTAAATGGTGGTAGAGACTTGTAAAGGCAACTGCTCGACGAGTTCGGAGGGGTGTTTAGGTAGACCTGGTCCGATGGGTCGTAAATCCAATGCTCAAAGAGCGCTTTGTACACCTTATACCCTTGATAAGGTCTTCGACGGGGACGTCGCAACGTAGCCCGTCGGGAAAGAAGAAAACGTAGCAGCGCTACACCGTCGTACTGCCCGATGGCAAAGTACCAACAACGGATCGGTCGCAGCCAGATTCCGATGGAACCAACACTGAGAAAAGCACCACTAGTGCACCAACACAGAAGCCCAATGGCAAATGACGTCACGTTGCGGATCGCAATCCTACAAGGTGGGACCAACTCAAGATTAAGGGAAATTAGGATAGGGAAGTAAAGGAAAATTGGCAAGGAAAAAGGGGACCCCCGAGCGCAAAGGATAAAGTAATCTGTAGTTAAAGAGAATGTCTTGTAAAAGACGGACTTCAACCAAGGCGATATCAGACTCTGGCAACTCGGGTTACCTTTACTGACTTCGTCGTCAGAGGGCTAAGGTATATATCGCCCCGCCGGAGCCACTACAGTAGCTCGCGGCGCTAGATCCTATATCTAATCTAATGTCAGCAAAATTAATGCCAACTAATTAACTAAATAAAATAAAATAATTAAAAATTAAAACGGTGCAATTATTCACACGTGTGTCCCCCAACCCGGACCACTTTTCATATCCAAATATTTTCCTTTCTTTTCACCCCCCTTTTCAGGTACGTATTGCACTACAATCCTTTCGCGCGCAAGACAAACTCGAGTTTGTGTGACCAAAGGAAGTAGTTGTTCGAGTTGAGAGGAGTGAGGCGGTACCTGGAAGTATCCACGGTCTCCTGTCGGGTGTCATCCATCTCAGTAGATACCCGAAGTGCGATATCAGAGACGTGCAGTAATGTGTGTAGCGTCTGGGCACCAAAACCTGTTGAAGTTGTGTATTTTTATTCCTTAGAGTTGTTGCACGAGACCTAATTTATACTACTTTGTATCTGCAGATACCATCTCAGTGCGTTTCAGATTATGTGAGGTGGTCGGCCTCAATTCTGCTAAATTGAGGGAATCAACACTGTAACTTATTAGATAGGGCCATTGACTACGGGTCCGATTATACCGAATCCACTCGATCTTCGCTGTCAACACAGTACAGTGATAGCGTGTTACGTCTTCCCTTCGTAGAACCAGGGAGGAAGAGTTGAGGTGTACAGGTGTATCCTCAACAATCACTACCCGGCCAGAACTCTGTTATTAGAGTCTGCTGTTGTTGCCTTTGACCCTGTCTCTCAGGCCTAGCTTCTAGAAAAGCTGGTTTTGCGGACCTCAAGTGCGATAAGGCATTGCTCACATCGCACTCCACACCCAGACTCCCCAAAGACCCAAACAACCTTGCTAGCACTACAGCACTCGGTACGGCCCGCCTCTCCGTAATTTCACACTCGTCTTCAGCCACACAATCATCCATCATAGCATCACTGGCAGACTGATTCTGTAGCTCTCCACCATAATGTAGTGAATCGCAAGCATCACTAATAGAAGCTTCTGCCACAAGCTCATTAGTCTCGATCTCAACCCATTCCTCCACATCTTTCCTGGAGATTTCTGCAATTTCTGCAAGGCCGTCTTCTGGCACCAGGCTCAGCCAGGAGAGAAACCCTACTGTACCATCCACCATAGATTTATCAATTTCTGTTTCATTTCGACCAACTTTCCCATGTGCATTCACAAGATCTGCTTGGTGATGCATCGGTATAATACGATTAGGTGCGTACGCTTCGCTTTGGCGATCTTTTCAGGAATCATGTTAGGGTCTTTGAGTGAGGTGCCATCAGCAATTGAGCTGAGGCGCATGAGGAGTGGGCGATGACGACGTCGTGCATGACACGTGGCAGAACCTGTGTCTGCCGGTTTTGGCGGCACTAATTCGAGGGTGGCAATAATGAAAGCGGCACTATTGCGCGTCCCCCCCATGTATTGCAATTATCCTGGATGATGTTTGTGGGATACATTGCTGTAATGATATTATGATAAGGATTTTTAGATATTTTACGGATCTTTTCTGAAGCCACCTATTGGCCAAGGCTATTGTTTTCGTTTACACGGAGGTTACCATTGGAAAAGGGGGTTGCTGGTGTTGTCTACCGGCTGACGGGGACATACGCGCCGTGACAGCGGTGACATTAACAGGTTTTGGGGAAAACCGTAATGTTACTGAAAAGGGCTTGGCGGGGTTCAGTGCAGTGCAAAAATTGCAGATGTCCGCACTACTGCCGAAAATGTCTGCACCATAGTGCAGACAATAATCAAGCCAACAATTTTATTGTAATTACAATGGCTGACAGTCGCTGTAGCAGCCGATAGACAAGCATATTGTCGCCTCGATCCAATCGTGCAGACACGCTGTGCGTCGTGCGATATGAGGCCCTCGGCAAGCCTCGGTGCTCATATCTGCACTCGGCGCGTGTCTGCACTCGAATCGAGGCGACAACTCCTACAGTACTTGTCGGACAGTGACAAAAACATCGGACATACAAAAAGTTGGTAAAAAACATCTCCGACACGGGCCAAGATGCACCGCCGCCGCGTAACAGCACCAGAAAGTGCGCTGTATCTCATATCGACGTGGATGAAATTAAAAACAAATATCTCAATCGATTGCTCACGGCCGTTTTCGTATAGAAGTGTAACAGCCCGAGCATACAAAACAGGCAAACTTTTCAAAAATTCGTCCGGCATGCTGAAGTGAATTGAGGTGATGTCCGGTGACATCACCTTAATTGAGACCCTGGAGACCCTCATGTCCATGCTGTCTTAAAGGAGACCCTGAGGGGGCCTCCTTTAAGACAGCATGGATCAGTGCTGAAGTGGCGCTCAGGGAGAGGGCCACTTCAGCACTGATGTCCGGTGACAACACCTCAACTCACTTGAGCATTCCGGTATACACATGAACGCCAACCACTTCCACCTTTCTATATTTACACCCCAGTCCATCTCTAGACTGCAAAATGCCGCCTGCTTCGCGTGAGCAGCGCATGAAATCTGCAATGGAAATGGTCACAGATGGCCAAACCTACAGGCAAGCAGCAGAACTATACCAACTCCCCATATCCATAATTTCAAGCCGCATCCAAGCTGCCTCTCCCTCCTCGCAACGAATCCTTAAACTTCGGGCTGGTCTCCGCACACTCACATCGGTTGAGGAAGAACTTGTGCTTAATCTCATAACTCGCTCTTCTGAGCGTGGATTACCCAACCTGGAATCGGTGACGTGGCGAATAATTTTGTTTCAAAAGTTAATGTTGTATGAGGCAAATGTGCTTGGATGTCCGATCTTAGTGCTCGGTTGGGGTGCAAAAGTGTCCGCGCGCTTCAATCACACTCCTCTTCTGTGTCCGTGGTTGTTATCGGCAAGTCGCAGTGGACAACTGGCCGAGAGTGTCCCCGTCGCAAAACATAAAAAATGGTGATGGCTTGACGAATACCAGTACTTTTTCCGGTCGATGCTGGTGCGGCTCTATAAAACCACCCACCCACCCACACACACACCCACCCACACACCCACACACCCACACACCCACACACCCACACCCGCACACACACCCACCCACACCCACACACACGATCCAGGCAAAGAGACATTTATGGCTCTCGTTACCCTACTCTGCTTCCTGGCCGCAACCACGCTTATGTCGGTTGACGGGTCCTGCCCAGGGACCTGCCGTATCAGCGACGGAGAGATAGCGGGTTGTCACCCGTGCAAGTGCAACTACGCGGTCTGTCAAGCCCAGACGGCTTTCGGCCCGTATGATTTGCATCACCAAGGGGTGCCAGTGTACTGTGAAAGTACGGCGACCTGCATCACTCAATGTAACAGGTACCCGTGCAGCGCTTCTCGGGCATAACACACACACACACACAATGTTGACGCTTTTTTCAACTGCGGCCAGCCCTAGAAGTTTGAAACCGCCGGGGGTTGAGCTCTTGACGCCCCGCACTTTCAGCTCGACTGTTCTACTTGAATATGCTGCGTCCATTGGTGGCCCCTTTTTAGTGGAACTCGTACACACACACTAGTGAATTCCCATAGCTGACTGCCTCTCTGCCTTTGGAGGTACTGCCAGCTCCCCCGTGTAAAGAAGTTCTTGATATTCTGCATTAACATTCTCCATACATGTAGGCTTCGACGGTGATACAGCTTTTAATTTTCAAGCAGTAATTGTAAAAGGTTCTTTTGGCGTTGGAGAAGTGCATCTCTGTCGGAAGAGGGCGTCTTGTCCGTCACTCCACTGTTATTGTAATTACCCTTTAGTTCGTAAGACGTATAAAAGTCCTATAGACAGGCAAGTAGTATGTAAAGTGAGGGGGTAGGGAAGCATTATCACCCCTCCAATTGGGCAAGAGTGGTAAACTATGCCCGCAGCCCATTGACAGATGCAAGGACACAGCTATGTCGGAAAGATGAGGGCCAACGTCGGATAAATGCAATCATGGAGTGTAATAAGAACCAAGGCAAATTTCAAAACAGAAGATCAGGATATGTACACATGCACCCACGTAGGAACGTGAAGAAAAGAAATGGAGCCCAGCAATCCATGCTGATCACAGTACCTTACCCCTTATCCTCTTCCCCTCGTGTAATGGCGTTTCGATCCAATGATTCTAGCTCCCAAAACTGCTCAGTTTAGCAGAAAGGTTGAAAGTAGAAGATATCCACACTTTCTGCGCTGTGTGAATTATAGAGTAACACACTTTTATGACCCGAGTTAGCTTTTTGTAATTTCCGTGGCACACACGGGCCATCGGTCATGCGCCCTGGAATGTACGCCAAGATCATGCAGTCAACCACGGACATCACGGAACGGTGTGATAGGTTGCGTACTGAATAATGTATAACAAAACGGCACCGCAGACAGTGTTGCGATGCATTGTTTATTACTGTACTTCGAATGGGCAAGCAGGCCGCCACGGGTGCGTTTGTCGATCGGTACCGCTATAATTTAACATGCACGTCTACGCAAGTAAGTAAGCGCAATTTCTTATTCGACATACTGTAGTGACGTATTCCGGTAGTTTGATGGACTACTGCCGCATTTATTCATTGAAACCAGAAAACATAAAGAGTACATTTTACAGTCTTGTTGGTTTTGTAAGTAGGAAGAATTGCACTCGTGCTCTCTTCCGATAGAGGAGAAAAATAGCTTTGAAAGTGAATGCATCGACAACTTCGCGCCAAACGATCTCTCCCGGAGTTTCCGCCAGAACTTTCTGCTCTGTCACAGAGTTTACCGCTGAGCAGGTCCAACAATAGAAAACTGTATGGCACCAGAATGCAGCATTGTACTTAAGATTTCGAGCTCACGTTGAGGTACATCTCAGGGAGATCAGTGCTTTGGAGTGCTTAGGATGAAGGGACGTGGAGGAGGGCACATTAGACCTTTACAGCAAATACTGAGTAATGCGCATGCGAGCGGAACGCAATGCGTGGCTACTGAAAGCCATAATGCTTCAACACTGCTAACTGTTAGGCTTGTGCGGTCTGTGCGACATTTGCTTACCGTTGACAGTTTCTAACCCACGCCCTTACTTGTTGCATTGCCGCCGTATGTTAACGCCAACATTACCACATCTGGGTCCCTATGCCCTTCCATCCAATGCACTCAGAGCATCTTCATTGAAAAGAAACATTGTTAGCTATAGAGCGAACCATGAAGCCTATCAAGTCACCAAATCCTGCTTCTCGTTTAACTCTCTGCTAGTTCAGTTTGCCAAGAAAGACATCAATAACTGTTGCTATTGCTAAATTATGGATTGAGTGCGAGCGCTTGCAAATTTTCCTCCTTCTGGAGTGAGTATATATTGAGAGCGCCTTAAATAACTACTCTCTGTTACTCGTCGTGAGCACAGGCAATTAATAGGGGGGAGGGGGTAATTTCATCCAGCGAAAAGCTCGTCATTGCCTCACCATCACGTGCTACAAAGGACAGCCTCATTGTTCGTTCCCAAATTGCATTAGAAACCATATTCCGGCACTACGTTATCTTAGCTTCTTTGTTGGGATGTTGAGCTCTCAGCATTTGCAAAGTTGCATGCATTCGTGCGTCATGAGACTGATCCACGGCTTAATCGTTACACTGTGCCTCAAATTGAGCAGATACGCTTCTATCGTCGGTGTCAATCAAACACTTCTTCGTCACCACTCAACGTCCACCCCGTTGGACGCAGTACTTGATTCAATGTCTGATTTTTCTTCCAACATTCCCACCAACGACCTCTCATCATGCGCGATAGGAGTGATGCCATAACACCGCATCACCACTACCCATATACTGCTCGCCAATAGAACAAGGATGACCCATGTTATCGGTATCAGCCACCAGAGTGTAACGTTCGTTACACTCTTGATTTCGCCCGGAACAACCTGCTTAATGCTAGTTTGCACGCCATATGCAGCCCCGAACAGGGCCTCGATCGCGTCAAAAGTAAAGAATCTGTACAGAGTCGTCCAAAACCGTATGTCATTTCTTTTCGCTCCCACCTTCGACATTTTGCTTCTTGCGCCGTATTGTTATCAATGCGGAAGCCATCTCGATAAGGGCAATGCCATGATACATCCCCATCATACACAACAGCTTCACAGGGTTCAGGATCTACTATTCCGGTGTTTGTATGCGGGCCTAGACAATTCATATCGATATCGTCGCATTTCAGATAGTGAAAAACGGCGGAAGAGTCTTCACCTGCTTACAATTCTTCAGTGTTCGTGTTATATTGATAAACTCCAACGCAAGGGTCTTAATGCACAATTCAGTTCTCATTAGTGTAGCATAAACACCTCCAGCAGCGGAGGAGTATAGCTAACAGTCCGACGGAGACCTTGGTTTGGCGGAAGACGGACTCCTCTTGCCCACGGATCCGGGCACGGGCCCGGTAGCAGGTTGGTAGAGCGGGTCGGGATAGGTCGCGCGCACGCACGAGCAGATCGACGCCTCGACGCCCCGGAGCAGCGCTGGGTGACGTACCAGCGCTGACGGGCGGCGGCGGATCGCGACTCGCTCGCGTGTCGCGCAACCCGACCCTTGCCGGTCCCTAACTAAAAAGGCGTGCGAATATGTTGCCTAATTAGAGTAAACTGGAGGGTTTTGCGCCGCAGTCGTGGGTCGTCCCCAAGTTACCCCCATCCTCCCCCGCCGGCGCCTTTCCTCCTATTTAATATACAAATCGAAGTTATCATACTATCGTATAGTACCGTGCTACTGTACCATTGCAGGTCGTCCCGCACTGTAATACTCTCAGCCATCGGGCTGACAGCACACGTGTCGTACACGTGTGCTAGCGCACGCGCTGTAAGACATGCGCGCGACGCTGTAAAGTCCGTACCTTACAGCGGGATCTAGATCTAATTGCAAATCTAATGTATACAGTAGTCGTCGGCAATTATGCCACATCGCCCCCGACTTAACGGTGAACGTCCGCGTTCACTCTGGCTTATAGAGGTGGCCATGTCGATCCCCGTGACTGACCGGTACGTAACCCTGTCCGAGATCGTGCGCATTCCTTCCTTCCGCCCAGGTCCGGGCCCCAATCGCTTTCGATCCTCCGTTCTCCCTTCCTGCTGTCGTCTTATCGTCGCTGGCGGTGGCGCGCTCGACCGCGCCGTCCTGCCGTCCCCGTACTTCCTGCCATTCCTCCGCGCGTCCTTCGCATCCGCGCCCCACGTCCTTCGCTTCCCCTCCTTCGGGTACTCGTCGGGCTCCTTGCCCTGGCCGTGCCGCGCTATTCTTGGTCCGTCGATGTCCACGCCTCTCGAGGGCCCTTCGAGGGCCGTCCCGTCGTCGGACGCCAACACCGCTCCCCGTGGAGAAGGTTCCTCGCGTCGGCTCGAGCCGACGCCACGGCCCTGGGCTACGTTACCGCCGTTTCAAAAGTCGCAGGGCTCTGGGGAATCGACTCCGTCGATCGAGTTGGTTCCCACCTCGGCGCCCCTGGTCGAGCGTGCGGCCGACGCCATCATCGTTCGGGCGTCGCCTCCCGCCGGGGAGAGGAACGACCCCGTGACGAGGCGGTTCGGGTCGCCCCTCGAGCGGTCCGCACCGCTTCCCGTCGAGCGCCTTCAATTCCCGTGGCGTCGGTTCGCCCGTTCCGGAGTGACCGTGGGCGAGCTACTGTTCCACGATCGCCTCCGCCCCGACCTGCTGCGCGTTCGTCGCGTTTACGAGGCAGGTGGGACGGAGGAAGCGTCGTTGATGCTGGCGCGCCTCACCGCGGACGGCGTCGGCGCCGCATACCAGATTTCGGAGGCCATCCGCAGCGAGCGGACCTTTGCATACAGCGGCGGTGAGGTCGACTACGTCGATAAAAATGGCTTCCTATTTGTCTGACCCCGACCGCAGTGGTCCGCGTCGGTTTATCCTGTCTGCCGTGTCGGGGCTGTACGTCAGCCCCCGACCGTATGCCTATTCGAATGCGAGGGCGGCATTGCAGAAATCCGTCTGTTCCTTGATGCGGCTACATGGGGTCGCGATCGCCCCTCACGATTGGGCAGTATACCGTCGAGCAGACGAGGAAGACGGGCGGGTCTTCCGTGCGTCCGCCTTCGCGACCGGACTCTCCTCGGAGGATTTTCCGGTGCTCCCCGCCGTCGTAAGGGAGGCACTCCCCTCGTTGGGAGTGCATCCTCTCCTCCCTAACGTTTTAAAGCACTTTGGGTTCGTTTGCGCCGATCTGGGGCACCCCGTCTACGTCGACGCGATGCATAATCTAGAGAGAGAATGGGCGTGGTCGCTGAGGAATGCACTTATGAACGAAGTGTCCGTGCAGAGCCGTGTATTCGTGCAACCACCGGAGGTGTTGGAGTTCTTGGGGAGGTGTAGAGCACTGTACCGTTTTGTTGCATGACAGGACGCGTTGTACACGTGGTCATACCCCTCGTGTATCCGTGGTCATACCGCACGTGTATCTGTGTCATACCCCACGTATATCCGTGTCACACCCCACGTATACCCGTGTCATACTCCACGTGTACCCGTGTCCACCCCGCGTGTCGAAGGCTGTCATAACACTCTATTTAGCTGGTTATTATTATTATTGCCGACGGCGACTACTATATAGTCGACGTCCGCCCCAAAAGTAAACGACACGAAGCCATGGGTTCTTTCCGATGTTTCTGGATTCTCGGTAGTAGCCTCGCGCCGATACTCGCCCACTCTGTGCGACACCACGCGAGCCCATCCACTTCCCCGAATCTCCTCCTCCTTACGCGCGTTCGCTGTCGCTTCGCCC